CTTCCCTTCCCTTCCCTTCCCTTCCCTTCTCTTCCCTGACATCTTTCCCTTCGCTGACATCTTTCCCTTCCCCGAGGGAAAGGTGCCTCGTGCGAAATAAATCTGTATCCCGCTGAGAATTCCATCTGTGCCTCGGTGCCTCCATCCATCCGCTCATGCTCTCCACTGCACACTCTCTCTCCAACATTCATACCTATCAGGTAGTGGTCAGAGCATTTTGTCACAGCAATGAAGAACAAACTAAGACAGAAATATAGACCTTTTTGATGTCATTCCAGGCCTTAAGTTTCTTACGCAGCAGAACAGCATCCTTGGTCTTCTTGTAACCTTCAACCTTATCTTCTACCACCAAAGGAGGTTCAGGAACTTCTCCAGTACAGTGACCTTTAGATATAACCAAAGCTGGTACAGAAGAGGCAGCCAGGGCAGAGCAGATGGTATATTACTTTTGGGTTGTGTTCACTCTGCGGTGCCAATGACGCCAGGTTTTGGTTGGAGCAAACATGCATCCTCCTTGACACATATTTCCAAGGCACCTTGGCTATATGGTGCCTTCCCTCAAACTCTGGGAATTCGAGCCAGTACCCCAAGACTCAGCACTGGTCTGATGACCTGCTAATTCACTGCCGGCATAGGACTGGGCTGTCTGTTATTTTTTTGTAAGTTGGTGTGAACAAAGTTCGCCATATCTGGTCATTGGGAGTCTTGAACACAGCTGGCAAAGTGACATTTTTGCCAGATGACTCCCTCTTTTCAGAGTACATTGATATGAGGGGAGGAGTACATGCCATGGCAGGGAGAAGCCATGCTCTTTCTGACCCTGGGGGCTCCACAGGAAAAGCAAGAGTAAGGCTTTTTGTTCAGGTAATTGTAATCCTGGCATAGTAATGCCACAATAAGAACGAGAGGTTGGGGAGGACAGCTTCCAAACTGTGTTCAGGACATGACAGGTGATTGCCTTCATGATCTCTCAACAGCTGAGGTTTCTTACACAAGACCTGCACAAGATCAGTCTAGTCAATATTCCAGTGTGGGTGTCGGGGAGGCCCATAAGACCTCACTCCACATTAAGAAGATACAGACAGTCAACAGCTGTGAGGGGAGAGAAAGCCAATTTGCTTCAGGGTTGTGATCCCTGGTAGATTGCCCATAAAATAGTGGACATTCCTACAACCATGTACATGTAGGGAACACTAACTGGACTCAGTAGATTATCCTATATATGTGTATGGACATGAAGTTGGGAAGGTGATTTGGTGGGAGGGTCTTAAGAAGAGTTGGGAGGAAGGAAGGAGGGTGAATGGATTTGACAAAAATAAAATATATTGATGTAAGAAGAAAAAATGAATATTTATAAAAGTTTGACAATTATTTTACTACATATGTCCTGAATTTTCAGATCCACATTCACTACTAGCAAGCACTTAAAACCTTCCTAGGCCTCAGTCAAGAGGAAAGAACGGAGTCTTGGTAGTTTCCTCCTCCCTGTGAACTCTCAGAACATCTTCAATCAATCCTAGATCCCTCTTATGCAGGGGTCCAGGGATGCCTCCAGCCTTAAACCTTTAAGCCTATAAGGGTAAAACTTCCTGAAACAGGAATGGGCTCAAATGACCAAATATAAGATTTCTATTTCCCTACTCCTGGAAAAGCATCTAAAGGGAATCTCTCTGCCTCATCATGTCAACAACGACCCTACTGAACACACAGGGCTCTGTTGTCAGTCAGTCCTAACCCTTCCATCCCTCGCCTGGGCATGGAAGGACAGCATTGACTTGTATAAGCAGGTGGAGCTGAGGAGACTCCTGCCCTGGTACAAAGAACCCATTTCCAGTCTCCCAGTTCCCTAGGGACCCTAAGACACTATAAAATGAGATGGAGGCAGATGACAGCACAGTGCCTTCTGCTATAGACTCATCCATGTTTCTCAAATTATTTAAACCTCTTTTAATACAAGCCTTGATGTTTATCACGGTGTAAATGAATTTTGTATTTTTCACCCATTCTGATTTCAATGTATTGTAACATGTAGTCAGGTTAAGGTTAAACAACTGAAAGTCATTTGCATGAAAAAAACAATTAAAACAATTATTATAATAGTCATAATGATCTGAATTAATGATGCTAATGGGATTGAGGTAGACACTGAACTAAATACTTTATAAATACATAATCTTTCCAGGTTTGGTGGTGTGTGCCTTTGATCCCAGTACTTGGGAGGCAGAGGCAGGTAAATCTCTGTGAGTTCAAGGCCAGCCTGGTCTACATAGCAAGTTCCAGGCCAGCTGGGGAACCTCTCTCAAAAATACAAAAAATAAATAAATAAATAAATAAATAAATAAATAAATAAAATAAAATAAAATCACTATGGAGGAAAACATTTAAAAATACTGACTGGAAGCCGGCTGTGGTGGTGCATGCTTTTAATACCAGCATTAATAGGAGGTAGAGGCAGGCAGATTTCTGTGAGTTTGAGGCCAGCCTGGTCTACATAGTGAGTTCCAGGTCAGCTGAGGATACAGGGAGCTGTCTCAAAAAAAAAAAAATACTGACTGAAATGTGACAATCAAAATCACTCAGATAAAAGACCATAAATATTCTTCAAAGACAGTAATTCATAGAAGGGCTGATGAATGAGAAAAAATGATTTTTAATACCAATTTGTATTTACCATATCCCAGTTATAGGAAAATGTACATTAGGCTAGGATGTAAACTAAAATACAGAGCTTAAGCTCCATACTGACTCCAGCACAAAATGATGAGTCTCTACTTCAGAAAACCAGTACAATGAACCCAAAGTGCTGTTAGAAACTATTACATCACGGGAACAAAAAATCAGACCCTAAGTTACAAATACAAGAATATGAAAATATGATCGGTTGCCTCTGGTTCTTTTTGTTGCCCAGATTGAATAATTTTCTTACTAATGCCTGTTTTAATCATTTGCATTCTGTTCTGATGAGTTGAATTTGTCCTATCTGTTTAACACTTCCGATGCATAGGACTCCCCCAACTCCCAATACCCTAAGCATGTTTGCTTACAGAAATGAGCTAACACCTGTGCCTCCCAAGCTTGTCCAGTCTCTGTTCATTTTCCTCCTCCTTTCTGGCTACCTGCTGTTTGTTTTCCTCTAGAGGGGCTGAAAGTGATTCCATGTCTTTCTGTATTTAAAAAAATTAGTTTTAAAACACGATATTACATGCTTCTTAACTGAATTTAAAGTCCTATGAAAGTCAGACTTACCATCCATTCAACTGGATTGTAGATGGCTGGTTGCCTGGAGAACTTGACATGTTCAGGCCAATCTGCTGGATATCCAAACCAGAGGCTTGATTGGTCCAACGTGAATGGCTGGGATGCAGAAGGCTGTGAACACCAAAGCAGAAGTGTGGCATTTGAGTCAAAGACTGAGCAAATCAACACACACTGGCCACCCCATCTTCAAGGAGCTACCCTGGATCACAGGAAGTGCATGACAGAAAAAAAGGGAACACATGCAGTGGGCCTTCTGAACAGTCACACAAAGAGTATGCAGACAGATTAATATTCCACTGTGGTGGTTTGAATGAAAATGTACCCCATAGGCTCCAAGTGTTTGGACATTTTGTCCCCAGATGATGGTGCTGTTTTGGGATGTTTTAGAAGATATGGCTATCCTGGAGGAAGCATGTCACTGGGGGTGGGCTTAGAGAGTTCTTAAGCCTTGCCAGATCTCCAGTTGCCCTCTTGCTTCCTGTGCCTGTGTGATGATGTGAGAGCTTAGCTTCTGCTGCTCCTGCTCCAGCCACCTCCAGCCACCATGCATCCCTGCCATGATGGACTGTAATTCCCCTGGAACCATAAGCTCAAATAAACTCTTCCTTCTATAAATTACTTGGGTCAGTGTTTCTATCACAGCAACAGAAAAGTGACTAATAAACCCACACACCGAAGATCAACTGTGAATCTGCAAGTCTGCAGCATCAGACCTGCAAAAGTCAGCAGAGTAGCCCTGGGTCACCGAAGCCCTTCTCTTGTGAAGGGCACACTGATGACTTGTCTGAATTATTGAGATGATCAGGCCACTCTCCATCTGGGGAGTCTTAATTGCAATGAAAATACAGGGGAAGGGAGGACAGGGCCTTCCCTCCTATAAAGACATGCTGACTGCAGGGATATACCTTTTTATTATTATTTATTTATTTATTTATTTATTTTTACACCTTTTGGTTTTATTGATAGTTTTCATTTTCATCTTTTTTGTTTTTGTTTTTAGATTTATGCATTTATTCTTGAATTGATATTGTGTTTTAATTTTTATCTCACTTCAAAAGGCTTTTTGTGTCTTTTCACTAACTCTAATATTTTTTTCATTTATTTTCATCTTTCCTTTTCATTCTCACTTTACCCCATTTCCCCTTAACCATTCCATCATTTCACTACTTTTAATATTTTATTATTTTTATTTTATATGTATGAGTGTACTGACTGTGTGTATGTATGTGTGCCCATGTGGTACAATGCCTGAGGTGGTCAGAAGAGGGCGTGGGATCCCCTGGAACTGGAGTTACTGATGGTTGTTAGCCATCATGTGGGTGCTAGAATTGAACCACAGTCTTCTGCAAGAGCAGCAAGTGCTCTTAACTGCTGAGCCATCTCTCCAGTCCCTACTTTTGTTTTATTTTTTAAGACAAGGTCCCCCTGTAGCCCCAGCTGGCCTGGAACTCACAGAGATCTGCCTGCCTCTCCCTCCTGAGTGGTGGGATTAAAGGTGTGCACCTCCACACCTGGTGTTTCATTTCACTACTTAAATAAGATACCCTTAGTTCTGAAAAACATGGTCAGGCTTGGAGGTGCACACCTTCAATTCCAGATCTTGGGAGGCAGAGGTAGGAGATCTCTGTGACAGAGGCCATCCTGGTCTACACAGCAAGTTGCAGGCCACTTGGGCTATATGAAGGCCCTGTCTCAAAAACAAAACAAAACAAAATTAAAAAATAAAACCCTGATAGACTATGTGAATGGCAGAAGAGTCATGGTTTAGGGAAGCCATAAAACCATAAATTCCTTAAAGTGGCCAACTAGTCCTAAATGGCAGGCTGGCCTCGCTCAAGCCATATCAACTGAACTGAAGGTGTGGTGGGGCACCTCAAGACTGACCATAAGCACACCATGTTACAAGCAAGCCCCAGCTAAACCCAGTAATTAAAGCTAGAGGCAGTAACTCAAATGTGGGAGTGGAAAAGTTTGACCCAGCTGCATCAAGGTGTGGGGTTTGAGAACTGATCGTTGTGCACCTGGTTGCTCATGTTAACAGCAGATTAATGCTTCTGTACTTTCTGCTTGGTTTGCTCTTACAGAATAGAAATTGTTCTTTCCCCACTCCCATCACCAGCATGTACGCGACAACTATTAAACTGACTGCAGGGTGTGGTTGCATTTGCCTTTAGACCCAGCACTCAGGAGGCAGAAGCAGGAGGATTTCTGTGAGATCAAGACCAGCCTGATCTACATAGTAAATTCCAGGTCAGCTGGGGCTGCAGGAAGACCCTGTCTCAAAAAGAAGTATTTCTTCAATTTTTCACCAGGAGAAATAGTTGGAACTCAGAATACTAGAAAGTAATGTACAATATGAAAAATACACATTTAATAAAAACAACATGAGCCAAAATATTTAAGAAATGTTCATCTAAAATCCTAATCTTAGGGGGCTGGAGAGATAGCTTAGTGGTTAAGAGCACTGGCCACTTTTGTAGAGAACCAGGGTTTGGTTTCCAGTACCCACCAGGCAGCTAACAACCCTCTGTAACTCCAGTTCCAGGGGATCTGACCCCCTCTTCTGACCTCTGTGGACACTGTATGCACATTGTGCACTTATATACATACAGGCAAAACACTCATACACATAAAACAAACAATTTTAAAAAATCAATTTAAAAAATTAAATCCAAATCCAAGATAATTAAAGGACACTCAGGACACTGTGAATCTTTTGGCTGCTCATGACCCTTCTTCTCAATTGTTGCCTTTCCATTTAGAACATGGCTTCATAAATCACCCAAAACATTAATTTCTCAATACAGTTAATTGCTAGTATTTTTCTGTTCATTTCTTCACTCTGAAATATATGAAAATGCTGTTTGCATATGAAACTTTATTCTTGGAGCTCCATGTTACCCACCAATTGGTTTGTTAACCTCTGTTAGCTCTTAACGGTGCAGAGGACTTAAAATGAATGTTTAAATGGCTAAATAAAAGCCATCTAAAATATGAACCATTAGAATGTGAGAGCAGGAATTTGAGTTAATATTAAAAATCTAGAATACCTTCTCAGAAAAGACCCCAAAATATCTAGAATACCAAAAAAATCAGCAATTAAGAATTAAAATTTTACCCTTTGGTTATTGAGTCTCTTCTTGTACAGCTTGTTAATATTTGGGCAAAAATGTGTTATTCAACTGTGCAGACTTTCATATATACACTTAATTGAAGGACTGAGAAAAACACAAGACAACCTTGAATTTGAATTTTGATAGACTGATTTTGATTGTGTACATTTCCAGGTTCTTATGGTATTCTCAACACAGAAGCAAGGATTGAAATACAGAACACATTCTTCTATAAACAATATGACAGAGAAACAAATACAATGCCTTCAGTTGAGCAGTTTGAAACTAAAAATAGATCCTTGGTCATTGTGATGAACAATTAGATTTCATAAGACTTTTAAGCACCAGTATACTGAAAGTCATATCAGTAAAAAATTTAAACTACAATAATGTACATTTATCCCAAAGTTCCTGGCTCAATTTTCAGATTTACTCCATTATGGAAATCTATGCCTAATAAAAGCTCCTGCCCTGTGTTTTCTACATCATTCCCATATTCACCCCCAACTGCTACAGAGTACTTACTATCCCTTTGCTATTTTCAAAGTAAAAAAAAAAAAAATCAACTGGTCATAACTATATAAAAGTTTTTCTCCGACCAAATTTTGAGACACAATGATAGTAGTTAGACCATTGCTGAGTTTAAGAATAACTACTAGGGGGCCTGGAGAGATGGCTCAGTGGTTAAGAGCACTGGCTGCTCTTCCAGACAACCTGGGTTCAGTTCCCAGTACCCATATGGCAGCTAACAGTCTTCCTTAACTCCAGTTACAGGGGATCCGACATCCTCTTCTGACCCCCACAGGCATTGCATGACATAGGTGCACTTACATACATGCAGTCAATACACTCATACACATAAAATAAAAATAATAATTTTTTTCTAAAAAAAAGAATAAATATTAGGGGCTGGAGAGATGACTCAGCAGTTAAGAGCACTGACTGCTCTTCCAGACAACCTAGGTTTGGTTCTCAGCACCCACATGGGAGCTAACAACCATCCATAACTCCAGCTCCAGGGGCTCCAATGCCCTCTTCTGGCCTCTCCAGGCATGGCATACACAGGTGCCCTTACACACATGCAGGCATAACACACATACACATAAAGTTTTAAAAAGAATAAATACTAAACAATCCAAATTCAGAAAAAGGAAAGTTAATTTCACAAAGGGGCATTAAAATACCTTGGTATTAAAGCTATGTTCTTCTTTCATTGTGGGCTCAGGATCGCTATGACCAGGTTTGTCAGAGAGCCTTAATAATAAAGATAAACCATGAGAGGTGAGTTTTGGGTCTTTTTTTTTTAAAATCATGTGAAAGGTCAGTTATCTGTATATGAAATGCTGTTTCTTTGTTGCGATATTCAAAATTGATCTCTGTGAAGCAAGCTATTAGTTACTGCTTTCTGCTTCAACTCTCAACCTACAATATATTCAATGGAAGCTCATTCACAATCATGAAAGAGAATGAAATAATTTGTCTGCACAAGCTGCCTCTCTTGATGGCTAAATGGAAACCCAATTATTCGCTCACATATATTTTGCTGCCTGAATTAAAGAAAATACAAAACAAGGCTCAAATATATACTATTCTCTCTCCATTGTCTATGCCTGCTTAAAAACTGTAACTCAAAAATGAAGTCTTGACTCTTCATAATTGAAACTCCAAATTGAGAGACTCTATTGTTTTCCCTTGTCTTAAAATGGCACAGAGTGTCCCTGAAACATCTTAAATGTTGGAAAGCTAAGATCACATGTGTAGGGGATGGAGAGATGGTTCAGTAGTTAAGAGCACTTACTGCTCTTTTGGAGGACCTGCGTTCACACAACCATCCATAACTCCAGTTCCAGAGGATCTGACACTCTCTTCTGGACTCTGTGGGTATTGCATGCATGTGGTGCACTTACACATATGTAGGCAAAACACTCAACACTTAAATAAATACATTTTTAAAATTAAAAAGCTCACATGCATACACTATTACTTAGCATACTGTTT